TAATATACAAAATTTATTAATAACAAATCATATTAAATACTTAATCACAGTAATTATAAATTTAATAAAAAATTAAAACGAATTAAATATTATGTGTACACTCACCAATATCTTCAAATTCAAGTTTGACTTGATCTTTGCTATAACCCATCAACACACTTTTATCTTTCCTACCAAATATTTGTAATCCCAAAATATCCTTCCAATAGGTAATGGTACGTTCAAGATTGGAGCTGGATAGAGTAACTTTTTCTACTGGATCTATTCGAAACAGCCAATATTTAAAAAAAAAATAAGTTTTGCTAAAAATGTGATACTGTAATTATTTTCTTTTTCATGACCATTTTATAACTCTTATTCTATAAATTATTATTACTGTAATATCACAAACTGATTTATACAATTTTAACTTGAAAGTGATCGTTGTGCCAATATTGTTAAAAGTATAGACTGACTTTCTTTATATTTACCACTGTTAGTAGGAGATTGCTCATTAACAATGTAATATTTATATCCACCAGGTGCCTGTACTACAAATTTTCCATCTTCTTCATGTATTGGCCAATTATTTGCACGTGCTTTTTCAATCACATCTTTTGAACGTATAGTGATAGCTTTGAAATCGTTTCCAGTTTCATATTCTTTAATCCCGTAATTATATGTCAACTCAATGACAAAATGTGTATCCTCGGGGCCATATCCTATCATTGTTTTGCTCCAACGATTTGCATATGGTCTATAAAAGAAATGTATTTACAATGTTACAAAATTTTAATGTTTTATATGAATAAGGAATGTGATTCATTTGATACTAACAAAAAAAAGATATAGCATAAAATATAACACAAAAAATATAATACAAAATAAATTGTATTGTAAATAATATTGTAGATTATGTTAGATTAATTCTAAATGTGCAAATATCAACAGGTTGAAAGGAGCCGTTTGATATTAGAAAAATTTAAAAGCAAATACATCATATATATAATGATAAAAAAATAAAAATCAATAAATATATATATATTTATTGTTACATTTAATATTATATTAATAATTAATATAAAAGTTC